ATAAATTGTTGTATGTTTGATTTTCAATTATTCTTGCAGAAGGATGTTGATCTGTTAGGAGAGAAACGAAAAAACTTTTTGGAAAATAACGATGGACCAAAAGAGCTGCAGAGGTACTGGTTTGATTGGAAACTTACGGCTGTTCGTTTACAGTTTAAACCATGAATTCATTAAGGTCGATTTGTACTTCTGAAGGTTTTAGATGTGGATGCAAGTTTAATTTTTGGAATTTTGGGAATGACAGCATTGGGACCTCTGAAAAGCTTCTTCGATTTGACAGTTGCATGATTTGTTGTTGTGGATTTCTGTTTTAGATGGTAGTAGAGGGAATGCAGGGTATTCTAAATAATATAAATCATTTGCTTCTTTGGCATCTTTTGTAGTTTAAATTACATCTGATATTTGGAAAGAATTAGTTTTTGTTTTTTTCCTGAGGTGTAGGTTATTGTGATTAATTTCATGAAATTTTAAAATTTATCGCTGTTGAAGTGCTGCTTAATCTGTAGGTTACGAAAAAATTATGCAGACACAACGATGAATTTGTCTCCTCAAAAAGTTTTTTTTCAGTGTTCAGTTTTTCCATCATAGCAGTGTTTACTACCTTTTTAAAATACTTCTTCAGTGCTTTACTTGAAGTAGTTTATAAATTTATTTTCCTGGCTGTCATACATGGTAATGTTGCGTAACTTTTTTCATTTTTTTGCAGATATATTCTAAATTTAAAAAACTCTTCCAACCAGTTTCTGAATTTCTTGGTTCGATAGGTTGTTTTTTCCTCTGACTGAGATTAAAGTGAATGACAAGTGCATTGCTATATACCTCAATAAAACAATTTTGTAATTAGTAACCAGAACCTTAAGCAGGGGATAACTGGCAATAATACTGGAACAAATGAAGAATAATAGGGTCCTTCATTAGAAGAACATGAAGGCAGTTTCAGTTTTTAGAGTGCCATTTGCGGCGTCTATTCGTTGAGGAGCAACTCAGGTAGCTTTATAAATATTTGATGACGCAGAGAAGTTTACCTAATTTTTATTAGATAAAGTTGTTATTCTTTGAAACCACATAAAGGCTGGCGTGTACTGAACTTCAAACTTTTATTTGAGACGGTTTTTCAAAAGCTGTAATTGTGGTACTGCAGCTTTACAGTTTTAACCGTTTCATACTGAGAAAAAGGCGACCGCTCTTTCCTCAGCAATGCATTTTATTAGAAGTTTATCCATTTTTATGATTACTTTGAGCCTAATTTGAGAGAGCTCTGCACACTTCTTCCTTACCTACTGTTGACTAACACACATAATTCGTTAAATATATTTGTATTATTTTTATCGTGCAGGTCTTAAGTGTTTCAGTTTTCAGAGTATAGCGTTCAAAAAACGACAAGTAAACACGTAAAGTATACTTTGATGTGCAGTATGAGAAAAGAGGTAAAAGCGCTGTTACTCGACCTCTGACTGCAAGTTTCGGAGAAATTAAGAGCCGATGTGAAGTTTCCGGAATGCTTTTGAGAAAAAATTCCTCCTTTGCAATCAAAGTAATCGGAACAATGCACAGCTAGTTTACCGTTAGTATTTCAATAAAACATTTATTTAAGGATTATTTGGAAACGGAAAATAGCTTTAACTGATGCTCAACGCCATTGGTAAGTAGCAAAAGTACTACAACATCGTATTTTCTTCTTTAGAACTGCCTTTGATTTGTTGTTGTTTTTGTTACTGAATATTACAAGAGAATTAATATGTAGAAGTTTTTTTTTAACAAAAAAA